AGGTTGTGTGTGCAGGTGAGGCCCTGAGCGGAGACAGAGACAGAGACAGGGGGGCCAGAGCAGACACGGACAGGGACACGGGGGCTGGCCTGAGCCACCGCAGCCAAGCGCAGGCTGGGAGAGGAGAGGGCAAGCCCGCCTGCAGCCTCCGTGGCCCATGGTAGGCCCAGAGAGGAAAGGGCGGGCCGCCGGCAGCCTCCCTGGCTGATCACAGGCCAAGAGAAGAAAGGGAAGCTTGCCCGCAGCCTCCCAGGCCAATTGCAGGCCCTGGGAGGAACGAATGGCCCACCTGCAGGAAGTTCTAGCCAGAGCAATACAGCAAAAGAAAGAAATAAAAGGCATCCAATTAGGGAAGGAAGAAGTAAAACTGTCACTTTTTGCAGATGACATGATTCTGTATATAGAAAACCCTAAAGACTCCATAAAAAACAACAACAACAACAAAAAAAACCCTATTAGAAACAATAAACCAACACAGTCAAGTAGCAGGATACAAAATTAATGTGCAAAAATCATTGTTTTTCCTGTATACTAACAACAAAACTTCAGAAAAGAAATTAAAGAAAATTACTTTTGCAATTATAACCAAAAGAATAAAATACCTAGGAATAAACTTAACAACAAACATGAAAGATCTATATACTGAAAATTACAAAGCATTATTAAAAGATATTGAAAAAGACACAACAAAATGGGAAAATATCCTGTGTTCATGGATTGGAGGAATCAACATAGTTAAAATGGCCATATTACCCAAAGCAATATACAGATTTAATGCAATCGCCATAAAAATCCCAATGTCATTTATTAAAGAAATAGAATGAGAAATCATCAGATTTGTATGGAACCACAAAAGACCCTTAATAGCTAAAGCAATTCCGAAAAAAAGAATGAAGCTGAAGGTATCACATTACCTGACTTCAAATTATACTACAGAGCTACAATAATGAAAACAGCATGGTATTGGCAGAGAAACAGACACACAGATCAATGGAACAGAATAGAGAGTCCAGCTATAAAACCATATATATATATATATATATATATATATATATATATATGACAGATAATTTTCAAAAGATGCCAAAAACACACAGTGGCTTAAAGATAGTCTCTTCGATAAAGGGTGCTGGGAAAACTGGAAAGTCAGATGTAAAAGAATGAAACTGGATTACAGTTTGTCCCCTTGCACAAAAATTAATTCAAAATGGATCAAAGACCTAAATATAGGGTCCAAAACAATAAGTTACAATTAGAAAATATAGGTACCAAACTTATGGACCTTGGTTGTAGAGAACATTTTATGAGCTTGACCCCAAAGGCAAGGCAAGTAAAGGCAAAAATAAATGAATGGGACTATCTATAATAATAAAAGTGTAATATGCTAATTAGACTGGACATCCTTCCAGACGACCTTCCGGATGAAGCTGGGGCTGGGAGGGAAGCCCGAGTCCCGGGTGCCAGAGGGAAGCTGGTGCCGGCAGCCAGGGGAAGGAAGGCCTACTCTTGCACGAATTTCGAGCATGGGGCCTCTAGTATCAAACTAAAAAGTTTCTGCACAGCAAAAGAAACTGACAACAAAACAAAGAGGCAGCCAACCAAATGGGATATGATATTTTCAAACAGTAGCTCTGACAAAAGTTTAATTTCCAAAATATATAAAGAACTCATACAACTCACCAAACAAACAATCCAATCAAAAAGTGGGCAGATGTCCTAAAAATACACCTTTCCCAAGAAGACATACAAACAGCCAATAGATATATGAAAAGATGTTCAACCTAACTGGCAATTAGGGAAATTTAAATAGAAACTACAATGAAATAACACCTCACACCTGTCAGAGTGGCCATTATCAACAAGACAGGCAATAACAAGTGGTGGAGAGGTTGTGGGAAAAAGGGAATGCTCATTCACTGCTGGTAGAGATGTAGATGGTACAACCACTATGGAAAGCAGTCTGGTGATTCCTCAAAAAATAGAGAATAGAGCTACCATATAACCCAGCATTACCTCTCCTGTGTATATACCAAAAAACTTGAAGTCATGTATTTGAAAAGATATATGCACCCCTATGTTCATTGCAGCATTATTCATGTAGCCAAGACATAGAAACAAGCAATAGAGGACTGGATAAAGAAGATATGGTACATTTACACAATGGAATATACTCAGCCATAATAAAGGATGAAATAGTGCCACTTGCAACAACATGGATGGACGCTGATAACATGAAATAAGTCAGCCAGAAAAAGCTAAGAACAGCCCTAAGCGGTTTGGCTCAGTGGATAGAGTGTTGGCCTGGGGACTGAGGGGTCCCGGGTTCAATTCCGGTCAAGGGCATGTACCATGGTTGCGGGAATATCCCCAGTGGGGTGTGTGCAGGAGGCAGCTGATCAATGTTTCTCATCAATGTTTCTGACTCTCTATCCCTCTCTCTTCCTCTCTGTAAAAAAATCAATAAAATATATTTTTTAAAAAGCTAAGAACTATATGATTTCACTCACATGTGGGATAGAAAACTGAACACAAACAGCAGTGTGGTGATTGCCAGAGTGAATGGGGTCCTAATATAAGGTGACAGGAGAAGATTTGACTTTGGGTGGTAGGCACATGGTGCAATATACAGATCTTGTAACATAGAAACTCACACCTGAAACCTATATGTTCTTGTTAACTAATGTAACCCCAATCATTTAATAAATAAATATTTTATAAAAAGAAAAGCTCTCAGATATTAAACCATTTTAAGAAAAAAAGATGATACAATAAGCATGTTTGTGAAACATATTTATGAAATTTCTTTCTTTAAAATATATTTTGTTGATTTTTTTTACAGAGAGGAAGGGAGAGGGATAGAGAGAAACATCGATGAGAGAGAAACATTGATCAGTTGCCTCCAGAACACCCCCTACTGGGGATGTGTCTGCAACCAAGGTACATGCCCTTGACCAGAATCGAACCTGGGACCCTTCAGTCTGCAGGTCGACGCTCTATCCACTGAGCCAAACTGCTCAGGGTGAATTTTCTTTTTAACAGGACACATTGATATCTCTGTAAGGGCCTGCTACATAGGTGTTAGGTCTGCAATGTGGGGTGGCTGCCACCAGAAAACATGAGTCCCTTAAGAACCAATCAGGTAAAGATAGCATGATATTAATAAACATGGAGTTAGGAATTGGGGAGTCTAAATAACTTTAAGTCTTTTATTAAAAAGCTAGTAGAAAAGGAACTCACAACTTACCACATTTACAAAATGAAATATAAATTTATAGTTAACTTGTAAAGAATCATATATATATATATATAT